AAGGTAGGAATTTCATAGCCGTAACTCTAAAAATCGGAAAACCGAGAAAATTCCCAACTTCCTCCCGAGACGTTATAACGAGCAAGTATGTTCCTATATATGCATGAAGTCGAAACCACCTTATAAAAATCACTGTTGGAAACCAAAATACAGAGAGAAATGTTGAAAGCAATATCTTCATTTTCACCTGCTAAGAGCCTAATAGTTCCTCCTACGCCATATATAGTAGAGACTTTAGTAGGATTCCCAGAAGATGCGTTTTCTGCAGTAGCAAAGAAACACTGATATCAAATACACTGAAATCTACTGAGAAAACAGATTCCTCTTGCCAAGTTTTGTCTTGAAATCAAAACAGACGGATAGAGCTGAGAATGAAGAGTGGGAAAACGATTACCATCAAGAGGTTTGATGTTGCCATCGCGCCGATCGACGGAGAAGCCTTCCTCAGGCGATTCGATGGGTTTGACGACGTACTTGTCAGGAAACTCTAGAAGCTCGAATTGATCGTAGAGCTTGAATCTACTTGAAGATGGAACGATCTCCATTAACGCAAATTCTGAGATTTTCAAATAAATTTTCCAAAATTTGAAGGATGATGATGAATGTTGTTGGAGTTTGTTCAATCAATAACTGGATCAGGAGAAAAAATAAAAAAATTGTCAATGGTTGATTGTTCCATTATTTTTTCTTCAAAGTTGACTATTGCCACGTGTCTCCATCCGAATACTACTGGGCTTTCTTTGGGCCTGAAATTTAAACCGGTCCCATTTCTGCTTCAATGAAGGTCCTTTGTTCGGACAAATTATCATCCGCCACAACCAGTATTATTGCCAAGAGGATCTGGCCACGTGGCAGTAGTTAAATCAAAGGCCGCCAAAACTGTTACGTAGACACTTATCGCCGGGAACATACGACCACTCGTTTCCCGAAACAGCAACTGCCAACAAGGAAGAGCTCACTCCAGTTTCCGGCCAGAAACGATTCTCCCCTCCGTCGTTTCTATGACTTCGATTCTCAACACCGTCTCCTCCATCCATTCCTCCAGAGTTACCTCCGTCGACCGAGTCGGAGTTCTCTCACACCGGAATCCGGATTCCGTCGAGTTCACTCGCCGGCGTTCTGGTTTCTCAACGTCGTTCTTCGAATCACCCGGTATACTTAACATTGCTGAATGCTGTCTTCGATTTGTTTACTGATTTTGTTGTGTTCGTAGGGCGGAGATTTGTTGTGCGTGCAGCGGAGACTGATACTGATAAAGGTATGATTTTTAGTTACCTTTTCTTCAATTTTCAATCTTAATTAACAATGTTGGATCGACGGCAGTTAAATCCCAGGCACCGGACAAGGCACCAGCCGGTGGTTCAAGCATTAACCAGCTTCTCGGTATCAAAGGAGCATCTCAAGAAACTGTAATTTTTGTTCATGTTCTCTGACTTTTTTAAAATTTTGGGTTTGAAATCGGGGGAATTGAGGATAAAATTATCATAATTGTGCATAATGATGTGTTATTTGACATAGTTTAGGAATTTTCTAGTAAAGGTAGTCTCTTTTAAGTTGACAAGTCTAATGTTTTAGCTTACAAATTATGTAAAAATGTTGTTTGTTAGTTTAAAAGAGTTGGTTGTTAACTTACGTTATGTGTTTCAGAATAAATGGAAGATTCGTCTTCAGCTTACAAAGCCAGTCACCTGGCCTCCATTGGTTTGGGGAGTCGTCTGTGGTGCTGCTGCTTCAGGTAACCATATGAACTTTTCTTGGATCGTGCAATACTGTTCAGAAAGTTTTTTCATGTTCTTAACCAATCTTCACTAGATATCCTTAACTTGTTCTCTGTGGAACCCCATGACTCAAGTCTTTTGTTGCTCAAACACATTTTCCTACAAATTGTTTCTTCTGGCAGGGAACTTTCATTGGACCCCTGAGGATGTTGCTAAGTCGATTCTTTGCATGATGATGTCTGGCCCATGTCTTACTGGCTATACACAGGTCTGGTTTAGCAAAACAAAAAGCTGAGTTGTTCTAATGGTAGTGCATTTTTCCTAGTGCTGCATAACCTAGACGTGTTGATTTCCAGACAATCAACGACTGGTATGATCGAGATATTGACGCAATTAATGAGCCGTATCGACCAATTCCATCTGGAGCAATATCAGAGCAAGAGGTAATGAGACAGAGAACATTTTGAGCTTTGATCACGTTTGTGATTCTGATTTGTACTCCTCGTTTACAACTCTTAAAATGCAGGTTATTACACAAGTCTGGGTGCTATTATTGGGAGGTCTTGGAATTGCTGGAATATTAGATGTGTGGGTAAGTTGATGGTTCTGACATAAACTATTACAGTTAAAGGACACATCAGATTTTACTAAATCTTCCCCTTTCAGGCAGGGCATACCACGCCCACTGTGTTCTATCTTGCTTTGGGAGGATCATTGCTATCTTATATATACTCTGCTCCACCTCTTAAGGTAACTTCTATTCCTAACTTCCACTCCTGTAGTGATAAGACACTCCATCTAAGTTTTGGAGTAAAGAACTTATCAATATCTGAACTGATCTGTTTGCAGCTTAAACAAAATGGATGGGTTGGAAATTTTGCACTTGGAGCAAGCTACATCAGTTTGCCATGGTAAGATATCTCGTGTATCAATATATGGCGTTGTTCTCATCTCATTGATTTGGTTCTTGCTCACTTGACTGATAGGTGGGCTGGCCAAGCATTGTTTGGCACTCTTACACCAGACGTTGTTGTTCTAACACTTTTGTACAGCATAGCTGGGGTACTCTTCTTGCAACCTTTTATGATGCATTTTTTTGTTTCTTAAGTAATCTACATTTGCTTCATGTTGTACCTGTATGATAATGCAGTTAGGAATAGCCATTGTTAATGACTTCAAAAGTGTTGAAGGAGATAGAGCATTAGGACTTCAGGTATTATGTATTCTCTTTTCCTGAAACAATGTATCTCTTTTATCTCAGAAATGGTCTCTGCAGTGATTTTTCTGATTGTTATCTTATGCCCTAAATGGACAGTCTCTCCCAGTAGCTTTTGGCACTGAAACTGCAAAATGGATATGCGTTGGTGCTATAGACGTTACTCAGCTCTCTGTTGCTGGTATGTAGTATTCATAATTTTGTACAGATGTGGCTTCTATTTCTTCTGCTTGATCTTATCAATTGGATATTCACCAATGGTAAAAAACTCAAGTCAATGAAATGAATTAACGAAGGTAAAACATAAAAGTAGATGCCACATTCTAATGAAATGAGCTAATGAAGAGGTGGCATCTACTTTTATGTTTCATTTGTGTGTTTGGTGGATTCTCATTTCATGCTTCTAAAACATGTATGTCCAAGAGTGTCATGGAATAACAGAACTTGTATGTTCATCTGCATCACCTACTGTCTTAAGTTTTTGGGAAATCCCTCCTTCCTTGAATTGAATGTTCCACATGTAGTAAAAATAGAGGCTTACAAGCTAATTTTGCCTTGAGGGAATCAGTACCTTTACTGGTGGATGAGTTACACAATCACTGTTATAGCACCAAATAAAAGGTAGAGATCATCACTAGTAAATGTCTATTTGGTTGCAGGATATCTATTAGCATCTGGCAAACCTTATTATGCGTTGGCGTTGGTTGCTTTGATCATTCCTCAGATTGTGTTCCAGGTAAAGACGTTAACAGTGTCACAACAAATAAATCTTATTCTTGTCACTCGTCTGATTGTTATAGTCTTCTATAAACTGCAGTTTAAATACTTTCTCAAGGACCCTGTCAAATACGACGTCAAGTACCAGGTAAGTCAACTAAGTACACATAGCTATCTTCTTGTGAAATATCTTTGAGTGGGTTTTTAATCAGAAGTTGCTTGAAACACACATCTTGTTTACAGGCAAGCGCGCAGCCATTCTTGGTGCTCGGCATATTTGTAACGGCATTAGCATCGCAACACTGAAAAAGGCGTATGTTGATGGAGTTTTGGCGAAAACAGAGGTGTTGAAATCCCAAATGTGGGCAAGTGATGGCATCAACTAGTTTAAGATATTGTAAAATATATGTACCATCCACTAGAGACAACTCTTGTTGTATCAATTTAGCCGAACGGCTGAGAAACTGTAATTGATTGGGGTTTTGTTAGTCTACACTTTCTGTGGTTACTATACTAATGTCTCTCGAAATAAGACAGGCATATTATTCTGTCACTTAAATCTGCGTTCAGAATCGTTTTTGTTTTCTATAGTGTTTTAACTATTTTCAGCATTTTTTGTGTTGATTCTAAACATAAACCACATAAAAACAGTAATAATAAAAATTGATACTTCCTCACTTTCTATATTCTAACAACTAGTACGGTTAAGAAGAACCCAACTAATATCGTACATTTCACATGTGTATCTTGAGAAAACTACAAAAACTAGAGTATACTTTTTTTTCTTTTCAAAACTATACTATACGTACATATGTCATTGTTTTTAACAACCTGAAACTGTGTTATTACTACATTACTGTATCTTTTGATTCCACAGCTTTTTTTTTGCTAATAAGAAAGTTAATATCATTAGATGAAAAGTTTAGGTGTTACAATAAGGACCTAGAGAATGAACCTTGGCAAAAAATAATAAAAAAACAAGGAAACATTTGATTCCACAGCTTTGTGAGTAGTAAAAAAGTATATCATTTTGACTGGCTTCTATAGGAGTAATTAAAAAAAGAAGTTACTAAAGTGGAGCAAAAAATGTAGAAGTTCGAAGAATTTACCGTTAAAGAGAATTATGTGTGTTTGAATCTGCATGTCACGATTTGTGGAGGAGGACAATTACCTTAAAGAATAGACTTGACATACATATAGTGAATGTTGGAAAGTTATAATGTTCCACTTGATCAGCTCACACCCATTTGATATGCAATCTCACCATATCAAGGCTCTCGTTGTTGAACCAATAATTATAATAATAATAAGTAGAACACCGAGTAAAACCACATTTCAAAACATAATAATAAGTAGAACACCGAGTAAAACCACATTTCAAAACATACACATATCATTTGATTGCACCCTCACCAAACACTCAAAAAACCTTCCGAGCGGTACAATCCTGCCGTTAGTAGAAGCCGTGCGTAGTTATATCACACATAAAACACAAAAAAAAAACCAAACGCACTACATTCAAACCCTAGTTAAAACCCACGCTGCCAACCACATAACTTACAAGGTTACTTATTCAGATTATCTACTACGGATTGTAGCAGCGGACACTACAAGCTAGTAGCTACTATCACTTGTTGGTGAACTTGGACTCGTCGATCTCAATCCCTTCTTCCTCGGCACGCTCTCCACCAGATTTTTCCATTGTACTGAGTCCTCCTTTGCGCCCCATCTCCTGATAACCCTCGTGACCTAGCTGCTCCTTTCTCGCCTCTCCTCCTTTACGTCCCATCTCCTGATAGCCCTCGTGCCCTAACTGCTCCTTCCTCGTCTCTCCACCTTTATGTCCCATTTCCTGATAACCCTCGTGCCCTAACTGCTCCTTCCTCGCTTCTCCTCCTTTATGTCCCATCTCTTGGTAACCCTCCTGCCCTAGCTGCTCCTTCCTCGCTTCTCCTCCTTTATGTCCCATCTCTTGGTAACCCTCGTGCCCTAGCTGCTCCTTCCTCGTCTCTCCTCCTTTATGTCCCATCTCCTGATAACCCTCGTGCCCTAGCTGCTCTTTCCTCGTCTCTCCTCCTTTATATCCCATCTCCTGATAACCCTCGTGCCCTAGCTGCTCTTTCCTCGTCTCTCCTCCTTTGCTCCTTCCTACCAAGTGTTAACACATGTGTTCCATGAAACATGGAGGTCTTAAGAGTAAACTTTACGTTATAGTCGCGTATAATACATAGATTATAATCTTATATTAAGATTAATATCTAATGTTTCTAGCCTTATATAACCATTAGTTACAAGTTAAAGAAAATAAAAAAAGAGTGTCGAAAAGTTGAAATTTAAGGCAATACCTTCAGCAAGATGCTCTTGGGCTTCGAGGCTGTGGCCGCCGGTGCCACCTTGGACGACGGTCTCTCCTTGCTTCGCCTTCTCATCGAGCTCTTCTCGGCTAAGTTGCTTTGACGCCATTTTTTAAAAGAACGAACGCTGTTGCTTCTATTTTGGTTCTATGTTCCGACACAGATACGGACGACTTTAATTAATTCCTATAAATAGAAACGTTTGGGTTCAAAAGAAACAAAAGGAGAAAAAAGTGAAGTGCTACGTGGAAGAGAAGACGCGGCGAGACTAGAAATAATGGGCTTTGTGGAGATGACACGTTGATGCTTACTCAGTCAACTTGCTACAGTTATTAACGAGCTGCTTGACACGACTCCAATTAATCTTAATCCATTCTCTATTTCCCTAAGAAATCAAGATAATTACCCACATTGTCGTCGGATTTTCTTTTTAAAAAGCTGTTTTCCATGGTAGGTCTTTTTCATATCAGTTGAAATAGTGTTAATAATCATTGATTTGAAAATCTAATAAGTGCAATCTTTCCTATTCTTTTTGTAATGTAATAATGGGTTTTATAAAACCTACATTTGTAAGTTTATTTTTGTTTAATTACTTTATAAACCTACAAAACATTGTAGTTCCGTCACAAAAAATTACGTTAAAAAAAAACTAGAGAAATGTTCATTAAACGACAAAAAAAAAAGAAATAATAAACAAATGGAGTGTACAAATGTACACACCAAGCTACAAATATTTTACAAAATAATTTTATATTTTTAAAAATGACTAGCTGTTTGTATGGCTTATGCCAAAGACCAGTTCTAATGAGGAATATATAGGAAGCTGGTCAAGGAAACTTTGTCGATCTTCTAAACGTAATGCATCATTCACATCACGATATCTCGCTGAATCTGACGAGTTACAATTCATTGGTATGTATGTTTTTTTTTTCCTTTTCTAGTTTTGAATGTGCATATATAGAGACATGATGATATGGTATAAGGTGGTTTCGCTTATGAAATGCTATGCAAAAACATCTTTTCGAACTGCAGGTTGACATATATAGCTTTGGTATCGTCTGTTTTTGAACTTTGGCATCATTTTGAATCTGCCATGGAGAGTTTCATTACTTAAATTGAAGGAGGCGAAAGAGAATTATATATTTCTCCAAATCCAACTGATTGACCTTCGTTGATTGAAGTTCAGGACAAAGTTCTTCGCATAATAGAATTGGATAGTAGGTGATTTTTTTTGCAAGTCGGCTATATGTGTCGATATCATATGGACATCAAGACTAATATAGCAATAAATTTATAGTTTTAGCGATGAAAAATCATATATATAAAAGGAGGTGACTCTCTCCCGTAGAGTGACACGTCTGCGCGTAAATGCTTGACATGTGTACATAATAGTTTCCACTTTCAGCAGCTTAACTCTTTTAGCCAATTAATATAGCAGCCACCTACGATCTCCAACTTTCAATACCGTTTACAAACGTTTCAGAATCACTTCGAAAGAGCAACTGAAGCGTCCCCATCTATTCCACTGTTAATCAAAACGTTTCATATGCTCTTCTGACCACAATAAGATTTCAATAATTATAAGCCATAAAGATACGGTATCTCTATCTCTCTCCATCTTCCTCTTTTTCGCTTCTTTGTGATTCTTCTCTTATCCTTCAAAGAAAGTACAATCCACTTAGTTTCTCACTAAACCTACAATTCGGGTGAAGAAGAACATGTTCTATGAACGTGGAGAACAGAAACTAAGAGCAGGAAGCTTGGGGTTTGGTTGAAATCGGTGTAACCGTAACGTCGGCGACTTGGTAGCCTTGTTTCCCAATTTTAACGGTATAAATTTTTGCCAAAGCAGATTTCCATTATTGATTTTAGTAATTTTGGTTTAAATATCCTCTATTGCACTATATTTTGACGCTAGGGTTTCAACTTTGAAATCCATGGTTTCAATGGAGGTTTACATCTTCTTCTCTTCTTGCCCGTCAGCTTCCCGAAACCATTAATTTTCTGTCAAAGGGACGATAACATAACAACGCAGCGACAAAGACAACAACACGAGACCCATGTATAAATTCAGCACTTACTAGCCCTATGCTTTTTTTTTGCTGAGGCTATCCCTGAAAGGGTTATTGCGCCACTGCTAGGCGCCTATGTGTTTTGGATCTTTTAACCATCTGACCTACCAATGAAGATGATGGCGGATCTGATTACCTGCGCGAATATCTGCCCATAGCTCAAATCAAATCATAAACTCCCCACAGAGCGGAAGATGCGGATGTGATATACACCTCTTTCCTTACCTCAATTGAGCGAAACCACCATATTGTAGATTTACCAATGGTGGATCGATTCAGATTCTTCAAGCTAATCACCAGAGGGGAGATATCATAGGCCGGGAACGTAGGAGGCTGATCCTGATTTCTTCAGAGAAGGTCGAGGAAGACAAGAGTCTAGTTTGGCAAAAGCTTTAAGAACACAAAGATCAACAAAGAATAACTCTCTTTATTAATCACTTAGGAAAATAACTCAAAACCTAAGCACTCAATCTCTATTCTCAAAACTCATAAGTTATGCTACACCTTAGCATCTTCTTATATAGAGAAGAGTTTTCCAATTCTCAAAAGTAAAACTTACATATTTAGATAACTCCTAAATAGTACTTTTCCTAATCTCTCTCAAAGATAACTTATTGTTCAAGTAACTTCAAGCTTAGGCCAACATTCTCCCCCTTAAGCTTGAAGTTATCTTCTCTCACATCTTGAACTCCAATGAGATCTCTCATCTCTTTAAACTTGATCCTTCCAAGTGCTTTTGTCAAGATATCCGCCTTTTGTTCTTCACCGGGAACATGCTCTACTTCTACTTGTTCATTCTCGACGCATTCACGTATGAAATGATATCTTCTATGTATATGTTTACTACGTCCATGAAACACCGGGTTCTTAGTTAGTGCAATCGCAGATTTATTGTCAATCCGTATTGTCACCTTTTCACAGCCTTTTCCGATGATCTCACTTAGAAGTTCTTGAAGCCAAATTGATTGTTTAGCCGCCTCCGTAGCAGCCATGAATTCGGCTTCACAAGAAGATAATGCCACCGTTTCTTGCTTTTGTGAACACCAAGTAATTGGACAATTATCAAGATAGAAAATATGACCACACGTGCTCTTACCATCGTCTACGTCAACGTTATGTGAGCTATCACTGTAACCCACCAACTTCATCTTCTCCGAACGTTTAAACAAGAGACCAAGAGAGACAGTTCCCCGTAGATATCTCAACACTTGCTTCAAGGCTGCTCCATGAGATTCTTTAGGATCTTGCATGTATCTACTTAAAACTCCAACACTATAAGACAAGTCCGGTCGTGTATGAATTAGATAACGTAGACATCCAATGCTTCTTCTAAATTCCTTTTCTTCGATTGTCTTCTCGTTTTTAGACTTTGACAACTGCAAGTTTAAATTCATAGGAATATGAGAAAGATTGCAATCGTCCATACCCGTTTCTCTTAAAATCTTTTGAGCGTATCTTTCTTGTTTTAAACTTATCCCTCCTTCATGTTGATGCACTTCTATTCCAAGATAATAAGTTAGTCTTCCAAGATCACTCATCTCAAACTTGGTTGCCATCTCCTCTTTAAAAACCAGAATTGCCTTCATACAAGATCCCGTAACAAGTAAATCATCAACGTAAACCGCAACCGCAAGTAGATGTCCTTTCTCTTTCTTTTGATACAACGATGGCTCCTTTGAGCACCTCTCAAAATTTAATTCCCTAAGAATCTTGTTTAACTTGTCATTCCAAGCTCTAGGTGCTTGTCTCAAGCCATAGAGAGCTTTACTCAACTTGTAAACTTTTTCTTCACTTCCTTCTACCACAAATCCTTCGGGCTGTTGAACATAAACTTCTTCTTTCAATTCTCCATGGAGAAAGGCGGTCTTAACATCCAAGTGATGTATTTCCCAGCCTTTTGAAGCTGCTAAAGCAATAATAAACCGAATAGTTTCAATACGTGCCACCGGAGCAAACACTTCATCGAAGTCAATACCGTGTCTTTGAACATATCCTTTAGCCACTAAGCGAGCTTTGTGCTTGTTAATGCTTCCATCAGAGTTTCTTTTGATTTTAAACACCCACTTTAGGCCAATTGGTTTCACTCCAATGGGAAGTTCAACCAAATTCCACGTTTTATTTTTCTCTATCGAAGAAATCTCTTCCATGCATGCTTCTATCCACACTTTCGATTCTTTTGCTTCATTATAGTCCCATGGCTCCTCATTTATCACCGTTAGAAGCCTTTCACACTCTGCCTCTGCCATGAGAATATAATCACTTAGATATTTTGGTTGCACTCTCGGTCTTTTGGATCTCCTTAACAACGGTTGTGGCTGTTCTAGCTCATCATCATCGTTGAGTTCATTATCACCGTTGTTCTCTTCGTTCTCTTCCTGATCTTCATTCAACACGTCCTCATTCACAACTTGAGTATCATGTGGGTTCTCCTCTGTTTCAATTTCTTCCTCTGTTTCGGGTATATCAATGATTTCTCTTATACCCTTATTACCAAACTCGCCTAGCTCAATAATAAAAGATCCGGAATTACTTTGAGCTTCTTTGTTCCAACTCCAACCTTTACTCTCATCAAATACAACATCCCGACTCACTGTTATTCTCTTGGTTGTAGGATCGAGTAAACGATATGCCTTTGATCCAGGCTCTCTTCCGAGATAAATTAAAGCTTTTGATCTATCATCTAGTTTCTTTCTTCCAACAGCTTCTGTTCTTGCATACCCAATACAACCAAACACTCTAAGATGCGCAAGATCTGGCTTTCTCCCTTTAAAGACTTCGTATGGAGTTGATTTGACTAGGGATCTTGTTGCAATTCTATTGATCAAATAAGTAGCATGCCTTACAGCTTCTCCCCATAAATAATTTGGAACACTCATATGCTTCAAAATACTTCTAGTCATCTCCAAGAGTGTGCGGTTACGTCTTTCAACAACTCCGTTTTGTTGCGGTGAATACGGTGCGGTTAGATGTCTTTTAATGCCATACTTGTCACAATAATCTTGAAACTCTTTGGACACAAACTCACCACCTCTGTCAGTTCGGAACGTCTTGATCGTGTTTCTTGTTTCTTGTTCAGCAAGTATTTTGAAGTTTTTAAACTTCTCAAAAGCTTCACGCTTTTCTCTCAACAACACAGTCCACATATAGCGTGAATAGTCATCAATGATCACAAATACATACCTCTTTTGGCCCGCAGTCGAGGGTGTAATAGGTCCACAGAGATCTCCATGAATAAGCTCAAGAGGTTGTGTGGCTCGAAAACTTGTTGCTTGTGGAAAGGGCTGTCTTGTTTGTTTTCCCAGAAGACATGATACACATGTTTCTTTTTCAACTACAAATCTTGGTACACCAGACACTAAATCCTCATTGACCATTGTCTTTATTGTGTCCAAGTTAGCATGTCCCAAGCGTGAATGCCACTTGTTTGATTTCGATGATGAGATCACTTGTAGACACAATACGACATCAACTTCCAAC